GTCACCCCCCCACCTCGCTCAGGTTCGTCCCCTGCGCTGCGTCGATGAAGCTCCTGAGTCGCGACGGTGATGCAGTCGCCCCACTGAACTCGGGCCTGCATGAGAAGGCGGGGCCAACGCATGCGGCATCGCATCGGTGCTGAATTTTTCTGCCAGGCCGATTTTCTCTGCGGAAATGGGCTGCGCAAGACCGGGCGAAACCGCCCGGAAGGGCAGCCCAGCGGCCCGACTGCTGCGTGTATCCACAATTTCCGCCCCAACGCCCTGCATAGCTGCGCCCAGGGGCGCGGGCTCGAGCCAGGGGTGCGCGTCGGAAAGAGCGGCCGACGGATTGTGCAGGATGGGTGGCGACCGCTTGCCAACAATCAGAAGTTCTGGGGTCGCGCCCACCAGGAGGGCCCCATGAGTGGGGCGGAGCCGTTTGCCTTGGACAGCTCCCGCGCGGCCCTGGCATAGTAATCGAGGTAGGGCTCCCAGCCGGGCGTGAATTCACGCCTCGGGGAGAAGCCGCCGAGGCCGCCGCCCGGCCAGAAGCTGCGGGAGGAGCGGGGTGAGGGGCGTCGTCGTCCCGGGGTTCAGGGCGGGCATGAAGCGAGGCGCTGGCGGCGGCAGTGGCGCGCTACTTACACCGGTCAAGGCATGGGCTAGCCCAGGCAAACACCCGCCCATGAAGCGAGGCGCTGGCGGCGGCAGTCGCACGCTTCTGAAACAATCAACGGATGGGCTAGCCTGGGCAAACGCCCGCCCTCCCGCCGTCAAGCCGGCCATGCGCTTGATACCATTTCCACGCCGCCGCTCACTCCTGCCCTTCCCCCAGCTCAGGTCCGACCGCACTCCGTCCCCCCCATCAAGTCGGCCACGCAGTCAACCTTTGCGTCACCACTCTAGCCAAATCCTAACCCCTAAACCCTAAACCTAGACGCTATGGCAATCCCGACCTATCCCTCACTCACTCTGGCTCGTTCCCCAGCTCGAACGCGACTATGGCGTCCGGCCCAAGCTCCGCCATCGCCCGCTGCTGCATCAGCGCCGCAAACTTCAGATCGCCGCCGTACAGCTTGAGATTGATGATGAACCGCGCCCCGCAGGCGTCGTGGAGCGCGCGCAGCGCGCGCCAGTGCGAAGGAGGGGGGATCTGCACCCCAGAGTGTTCCCGTGTGTGTGTGTATGTTTGTGCGCATGTGTAAGTTATGTGACAAGGGGCAACGAGTCAAGACGAGGTGGCAACAGCTCCTGTTGCATGCGTAGAGCCCTACACGAAAAGCAGTGCTCAACAGGGACTGCCCTGCTGGCCATCCGCCTGCATGTCTCAACGGCCGCCCCCTGGGGCAGAGCATCGGCCTCACGCCAAGGTCCTGCAGCGCAGCAACCACCCATTCGCAACGGCCACGCGCCCGCAGCTGTGCTGTCAAAGGCAGGGGTCCAAGGGTGCGCACACCGGGCCCCAGCACAGCGGTGCATGGTGGTTGTGCTGCGGGGAGCTCACCGCCTGCAGCAGCTCTGTGCTGGGCCCGCCAATCCTGATGACCGGCGCCGGGCCTAGCAACGCAAAGATGGGGCCCCATCGGACGGCATCCAGGTCAGCCAGCCGCCGCCACTCGAGGCTGACGCCCAGAATCTGCCCCATCGGGCGCCCATCGGGCGCGTCGGCGCGGATCGTCGCGCGGTACGCGCCGGCGGGGACGCCCGACGTCCGTACGATGGTGCGGCCGCCGGCGGTGAGGGGGCCGGCCTGCACAGGCTTTCCCGCGGGCGCCGGCGCCCGCGGTGAGGGCGACGGCGCCCTCGGCGAGGGCGCTGGCCGCCGCGGCGGCGGAGCTGGGGCCGCGGCAAGCGGCGGCACGAGCAACGGCAGGAGCAGCAGCGGGAGGAGGGCGGCGTGCAGCGGCCACGCCGTGCGCCGCTGGTGCATCGCGTTGCTGCTGCCGCAAACGTGCTGCGAGCGGATCCAAAGGAAAGCGGCCGTGCGTGCGGCGCGCGGTGCAATCAGCCAGCGAGGGGTGGAGCCGGCGGCTTCCTGTGCGAAGTTGACGGCAGTCCAAAGGTCTTTCTGACCGCACACTCCCAATACGCGTCCTGCAACACCGTTTTGTAGTGACGCACAGCAGCAGTCAGGGGCACGTCGTTCCTTGCTCAAGACAGTTGCACCCGTCGCCAAGCGCCTCGGCATACAGGCGCCTGCACACCTCGCTCACCAAAACGCTCCCGACCGCCGCCTGTCAACCGGCTGCTGCGCTGCTGTGGCCACTCCCGGGACGCATTATTGAGCAGCCTCACTTCCTTGGACTGCGAATGTCGCGCTCGCTGCTCGCCGCGCTGGAAGTGGTCGACCAAGGCCGGTGTCCCGACCTTGTCACACGTGCCGCAATTACAGAAGGAATCAAAAATGTGACGTAGACATACAAAAAACTGGACGGTACCATCAAGACAAAACGAGGGCTGGAGCAAACACAATGTGACCTTTGCAGACGTCACTCGAGGGCGTCACCGCTGTCGCGACAGGTCGGCACAGCAGCGGACGCGGGCTGGGGGGGGAACAACGAAACATGGGAGGCCGAGGGCAGGTGACTATCAATGATGCATTGCTTGTGCACTCGGGGGAGGTGGACAAACCAACACTTCTGCCAGTCAAGGTGCGCAAGGCTGCTCTGAAGGAAATACTCTGCGCCATAGCTGCTCGTGCTGCGTTCGTGCGCCGCCTCCGCAGAGCGGATATGTGGTGCAACCACGGAGGAAAGATACATGGCTCGCGTCAGCCGGCGCTGATGCTCTGCATTTACCCCCCCTCTGCTGTGTCGCTCTGTTTCGCTGCGACCGCACCGCTGCTGCGGCCCGCCTCCGTGTTTCGCGCCCGTGCGCCGTGTGCGCCGCAAGCAGCGGCCGTGATGCGGGCGCGCCCCATGATCCCGGCCGACCCGACGTTGACATCAGCAGCACCAGGGCTGGCCACAGCCAAGCAGCCCGGCCTCCATGCCTGCCCACTGCAGTAAGGAAGTGGGGTTGTGGTAGATTTTGTAAGGGCAATCAGGCTGTGGATTCCCGGTCCTTGGGAGGGTCGCAGAGCGGGGCGCGGCGGGCAGGTCGCGTTTCTTGTGCCATGCCAGAGATAAGGGTGCAGCTCTCTGCCGGTCAAAGCGGACACCGCAAGTTACAAAATGTCCAGCTACGGCGTTGTGGCCCCCACGTTTCACCCGCCACCTGGTATGGAAGGCATACAAGGCTGTCCAGGGCTTGCTGCTGTCGCGAACAGGCACTGGCTTGACCCGCGTCTGGAGCGAAGCGGCGCCCCGCCGATGTCGCCAGCAGTCGCCGGTGGCGCTCTAGTGCAGCAAGTGCTCAGGGCAACACGCAAGCGCGCTTGTCTACAAATCGAGCCATCGTGCTTGGTGTAAGAGTTTGTATGCAAGCCCAGCCATGAACCTGCCTGTCGTGGCGGAGGCCGTTGTTTCGTCGGTGGTCCGAAAGCGGTGCTACGGTAGGCGAAGCACAAGACACAGGATCACACCCACAGCCTGGGCCTGAAACAGGAACAACTGGTGTAGATTCATCACTGCATACAGACACAAACTGTTGATCGCTCGGCTCGTGACGCACAAGGTCCGCAAAGCTCGCTAAAGGTGCTTACAAGCAGTGTGCAGTACGTGGACATAGTTGAACATGCTTATGCCCGCCTGACCCCGCCGGTGCCCCAAACACCCGCAGATCCCGGAACGCGCACGATCTTTGCCGCTGCGCCCGGTCGCAGCGCGCGCCCGCCGCGCCGCAAGCCGCTGAGCGGCAGAGCCGACGCCACCCGCCGCGGGCGGCCCCCGGCGCGACGATGAAAGTCCTCCGCCGAAGGGACGATGCGGGCGGCTCGTCCGCGCCGCCGGCGCAGTATGCGGCGGCGGCGGCGCGGCCTGCCGCCCCCAAAGTCCTCGTGCGCAGCGCGGCGGCCGCGAAGGCGGCCCCCCCACAGCTCACCAAGGAGGAAATCGACAGCAAAAAGGTGGCACAGCTGCTGGAGGCCCTGGGGGTGCTCGGCTGCGATGGGAGCGTCGACATGGCGGCGGCGGTTGGCGCTGCAGGTTTTGGCACCCTGCAGGTGTTTGGGGGGAGGGGGGCCGGCAGAGCGGTCGATCTTGGCCCATGTATTGCGCTGATGCGCACTTGCTCGGGCTTCAAGGGTTTGGAAGCTGGGCGGTCGGAGGTACAGCAAGCGCGCAGCTGGGAGCAGGAGTGCGCAGCGCGCTCGGGCACGCGGCAGAACCGCAATGCTGCGCGTGTGGCGGCCGGCATGCACCCCGAGCTGCTGCAAGCTTGGGGCCCGTCGATTGTCTGAGGTGTTGGTCAAGGTTCTGCAAGCAGAAGAAAGGCGGGGCAGGCAGCACGGGCTGCAGCAGCATCGGCGGCAGCTGCAGCAGCAGTAGCGGGAGCAGCACCCAGCATAACACTCAGCAGCGTCAACGATGCATCCTGCGCGCGCCGCCACCGCCACCGCCGCGGCTGCCACACCTCCGCCGCACCCGCCCCACCCATGTTCCCACCCCAGTCCGCGGGACTGGTAGACCGCCTGGCGGACTGCCTCGTCAGTGAAGAACCCGCCCGCCGCGAGGCCGCCGCCCTCGCGCTCGCCGCGCTGCCCGCCGCCGCGGGCGCCGCTGCGGAGCCCTACCTGCTCCCGCTGGCGGCCCCGCTGCTGCAGCTGATGGCTGACAAGACAGGGGCTGTCAGAGACGCCGCGCTCGCCGCGGGCGCTGCGCTGGCGGGCTCGCTGCGCCCCCGCGCGGCGGGGCTGCTGCTGCCGGTGCTTTTTGAGCACACAGACCCCCTCAAGCGCTGGCAGGCGCGCGAGGGCGCGCTGCGCATGCTGGCGGCGGCGGCGGGCGCGGCGCCGGGGATCGTGGCCGCGCGGCTGCCGGAGATTGTCCCGCTGATCTCGGCCCTTATGAACGACGCGCGGGATCAGGTCTGGACGAGGCAGCTTCCATGCAGCTGCCCGCTGGCGAGCTGTCGTGTGCATGCCGCCTGTTTCTGGACGCTTGAAGCAGGGCGATGCAGTCGACGCTTGTTGGCGATCGGTTGCCGGAAAGATGTACCAAACGCCGTGCCTGCGTGCCAGACCCCCAGCCGGGTTTCCCCAGGCCTCAACCCCTTTTTGGCAGCGAAGGTCGAGCTGCGGGGGCGGGGCCCTCATACCTTGTGCGCGACCCCCACCCCTCTGCGCCGCCCTTGGCTGCTCTGCAGGTCAAGGCGGCCGCGGTGGACGCGGGCACGGCCAGCTACCATTTAGTGGGCAATAGGGATATTGAGCACCTGGTGGGCTTATGCATCTCACACATGCTTGCCTGTTTGCCTGTTTGCCTGCTTGCCTGCTTGCCTGCTATCATCAGCACCTGCGTGTCCAAGTAGCTGCTTCAACAGCTTGACTTGGAGGGTGTGGAAGGCGAGCTGGTGTGGCACGCATAGCGCACGGGGGCAAAGGCGACGCAGCGCCAGCGCCCGCGGGCGGAGGATGCCGTGCGCGTGTAATGACGCGGCCCGCGCCCCGGGGGTTGGGCTACAATCCCGGTCCTTCGCCTGGCTACCCGGCGCCTTCCTGGGGCTCTATTCAAAGTCCAACCGCCGCCAACCGCTACCAGCCGTCGCCCAAGGCCTGTGACTGCCGCCAACCGCCACCAACTGCCACCAACTGCCGCCAACTGCCGCCAACTGCCACCAACTGCCACCAACCGCCACCAACTACCACCAACCACCGCCAACTGCCGCCAACAGGTTGACGACCTGCTGCACACGGTGGCGCGGCCCGAGGACGTCCCTGACGTGGTTGGGAAGCTCAGCGCCACCACGTTCGTGCAGGTGAGGTTTCAAATTAAGGGCGTGTGCGTGTGTGAGTGTGTGGGCGGGCGCGCGCGTGTGTGCGTGTGTGAGTGTGTGTCGACGTTTTTGTGTGTGAGCGTGCCTCTGTGTGTGTGTGTGTGTGTGTGTGTGTGTGTGTTGTGGATGTGAGACAAGGGATCAGGGCTGTTGGGCGGTTGAGTCGGTGCCCTTGCTTGCAGCGCATTTGGCTTGGCCGGCGCCCCCAGTGCCTGCCGCGTCACTCAACACCCTTGCGGGATCCCAGCCTCACAGCATCAACGCTCCCACTATCCACTGCCCCTCCACACGTGCCCTCCCATGCACAAACACCCCCCCACTCTCCCGTACACGTACACACACAAACTCACACCCGCAAACAATCAACATAAACACACAAAAAGCTCACAAAAGCTCTTACACAATGTTAATCCCTTCACGTCCCCATCAGGCCATCGAGGCACCCGCCCTGGCAGTCATGGTGCCCCTCCTGATCAGGGGCCTGCGGGAAGCTACCCCCATCCAGCGTAAGGCCTGCGTCATCACCACCAACATGGCCAAGCTGGTCAACAGCCCCCTGGACGCGGCGCACTTCTTGCCAGCCCTCGTGCCAGGTGGGGTCGGGGAGGCTTTGTTTTGCGGACGGGCTGTTCTTGGGGGCGTGTGTGCGCATGCGGCTGTGTCTGCGGTCCCTCTGCCGCACAAGGGTCTCAGAGGTTCTGCTTGTTGCTGTGCAAGCAGCAACATACGAACGTTGTTCTTGCACCATTGTCGGGGCGGCCCCCGCGCGGCGCACATGCGCCCCGCCTGTCCACTCGCCTTCGCCCTGGCCCCACCTCGCGTCAACCCTCCCAATGGCGCCGTCGACCCCAAACCCATCCGTTCAATCCAACCCCAGGCATAGAAAAGGTGGCCCGGGCAGCGGCAGACCCAGAGCTAAGGGAGGTGGCCGCCAACGCGCTGGGGGTGCTGGAGCGCATATTGAAAGAGGCCCACGCCATGCACACGGAGACCAGGGCCGCCGCCGCCGACAAGGAGGTGGGGCTGTGCTTTGGGGGGGGGTGCCGTCATTGCTGTCGTCTGAAGATGTTTTTCCTGTCTTTTGTCCCTTGTTGAATTTATCCAGGGGATTCCTCTTCGTTTTGCTAGACAGGTTTTGGCCGAGGGTGGGTTTGGGGCTGGGTCGAGGCAGGCGCACGCCATGCTCACATGAAATGTGCAACACACGTGGCACCGAGCTCGCCGTCGGCGAGAGAGAGGTGGTTTCACAGTCAATACCGCGCGTCTCAGTTTGCATGTGGGGTCCTGGAGCGAGAGGACGTCCCGCGAGACGCGATCGGGGCCGAGACCTCCGGCGTCCCGCCAGCTCTGAGGCCCGCGCACGAATACCTTGGCACAACAGCGCCGCCTCGGACGACAGCGCGCCGCGTGCGGCTGCACCGCCGTAACCTCTATCCTCTACAATCCTTGCGTCCGACCACAACAAAACCCCCACACGTCGTTCGCCGCAGGCCGCGCGGCGTGGGCTGGCAGACGCGGTGTCGCTGCAGCAGCCGCTGACGCCCGTTGACGCTCCCACGCTGTCGCACGTCGCCGCACTCTGCTGTGCCCTGATGGACGCGCGCGTCTTCGACTCGGAGGAGTGGCGCGGCTGCATCGTACCTTACCTGGCGCCCAACTTCATGGGGGAGGCGGCGGCGGAGGCGGCGGCGCGGGCGTTCCTGCAGCGGTGAGCGGCGGGCGTGGGGCCCGCCGTTGGTTTTGGGGTGCAGCCGGATGGAAGAGTATCATCGGTGCTGCTTGGATTGCCTCGGGGCAGCCGTAAACAAGCAACCACATGCCTTGGATTGTGGGTCGTTTGTCAGGCACCAGATGGAGGGCCCGGGATGCCGCTTACTCAGTGCAGCACACGGGCGTATGCGCATGCGCACGATCCCATCTGCACCTCCCATCCATCAACCCCATGCGTCCAGCTGCTCAGCTGCCACTCACCCGTCCTGCTGCCTCTTTCCCTTCCTTCTGACCCTCACCCCACTTGCCGCCGTCACCCCCCAACCACCACCCCGGTAACCAGCTGCGTGGCCAGGATGCGGGAGGAGGGGGTCATTGAGGACCTGGGGTGGGACAATGAGGCGGGGGATGAGGGCTACGAGGAGCTCTGCGACTGCAAGTGAGCCGGCGTGCACACACGAACGTGCGCACGCGTGTGTGTGTGTGTGTGAGTGTGTGTGTGCGTGCGTGCGTGCGTGTGTGTGTGTGTGTGTGTGTGTGTGTGTGTGCGTGCGCGCATGTGAGTGCTTGTGTGCGTGCGTGCGTGCGTGCGTGCGTGCGTGCGTGTGTGTGTGTGTGTGTGTCTGTGCCTGTGTCTGTGTCCATGTGCACGTGCTTATGTGCGCATGTGTGTGTATTCTCCCATCAGGCAACTCGCAGTGCAAGCCTGTGTGGGCGGGGCCGGCGCGTTGGCGCGTGTCGAAGCGATTTGAAGGCAGGCCTCTGTCGTCAAGATCGCGAGGCACAGAGGGTTGGGACCCAAAAGTGCTCCGTGACTGCGAAAGCCACGGGCGGGCTGCGGCTACCGCGCAAGTGCTGCTGCCACCCCCAGCACCCGCGCCCAGCCAGCGCGTCCCTAGCCTTCGCCCTCAAGTCGTCGCGAGCGCCAGCGCCCTCCTTCCTGCCTCCCTCTAACGACACCACCTGACCCCCCCGCCCCAACTCCCCTCCTAGGTTCAGCCTGGCCTATGGCGGCAAGATCCTCCTCAACAACGCATGCCTGCGTCTGGTGGGTGCACCTGTGTCATACTGACCCAACCCGAAGCAGCCCACTCTGCCTCATGGACGGTCACGCCTTGCTGCCCTGCCAAGCGGCGACCTGGCTTCGGCCCTCGGGAAATGCCCTCCGCGTCCTGTTGCCCTGAAGGCGCATACTGCCTGTTGTCGGCTGCCCACCAACCTACATGCCACCTGCTCTCGACTTCGAAGCGCGCACTCGTCACAAACTCTGACAATCCCTGCAGCTCCGCGGCCGCCGCTACGGCCTGTGCGGCGGCAACGGCGTCGGCAAGTCCACCCTCATGCGCGCCATCAGCCGCGGGCAGCTGGAGGGGTTCCCGCACCCCGACGTGCTCAAGACGGTCTACGTGGAGCACGACATACAGGCGCGCGGTTTGACCGGCCGTTGACCGGCCGTTGACCGGCCGTCGACCGCCTTCACCGGCCGGTGACCGGTTTGACCGGGCCGAAACGCCGCCGTTCGCCTAGGTCTTGACTCGATTTTGATGGGGTGCCAAAGCGCCTCCTCACCTATTTCATCTGTTTCTATTGTCATCATTCCCGAATCTGCAGGCGTCCCTGGCGGACCTGTCTGTCGTGGATTACGTCGTCGCAGACCCCCAGGTCAAGGTCACCGGCAAGTCCAAGGCCGAAGTTGCGGCCGGTCTGACGTCCGTTGGATTCGACGAGGAGATGATGGCGAAGCCGATCACCGGCATCAGCGGCGGCTGGAAGATGAAGCTGGCGCTCACGAGGTGGGTTTTGGGCAGGGACTGGTGGTCAGAACAAGGCGGTGTTGGCGATTTTGTGGGATTTTGGCGATCGTGTGGGGTTTGGGCAAATGTATGAGATTTTGCGAGTGTGTGGGAGTTTGGCTGGTATGGGAGGTATTGACGATTCAAGGGGATCGGCAATTGTGTGGGATTTGAGCATGGGGCCTTGGTTCAAGCTCCCTGTCATAATTGGGCAGCATCAGGGCTGTCACGGCGGTGTGGTGGACGCTCGTTTTCGAAGACCATGGCAAGCCGAGGGTGGGACACGGGGGAGGGCCCCAGCCTGCCAATGGGAGGGCTTCGGGGGCGGCGCCGCTCTATGGCGGTTTCGTTGCAGTAGGACAGCGCCGGCGCACCGAACTGGGGCGGTTCTTAAGAGCCTAAGTTCGGTGCGTCTGGCAGCCGGCCGCGTTTTTGAGCACTGCCGACGGCGACCAACTGGACCTACCCCTAACAACAGCCTGCTAAATACGCGAGTGCTGCTCTCGCCCGCTGAAATAAAGGGCCATGCTCCTGGGGGCGGACATCCTGTTGCTGGACGAGCCCACCAACCACCTGGACACCGCCAATGTGGCGTGGCTGGAGCGGTGGCTGGTGACGCAGCGTGACGTCACCGTGATGACCGTGTCGCACGACAGCGGGTTCCTGGACAGGGTATGCACAGGTGAGGGCGAGCTGCGGCCCGTTTGCAGTGCGTGCGGCGTGGCAACGACTGGTCAAGATCACAGTCAAAGCCGCCAGCCCGGCCGGGCGCAGGGCTTGAAGGGTCGCGGCGTTTTGCGGCGCGCGCGCGGGACGCGCCGGCGGATATCTCAGGCCGGCAACGCGCGGGTGCCGCTGCGGGGCTGGGCTGGCCCGAATTCCGATTATCCGTTGATGCTTCCACCTGCCGCTTCGAATGGCCCCAGCTCATGCTCATACTCGATGCCCCCCCCTTGCCCCTGTTCATTTTTGATGCCCCGACTGTTCCACACTCCACCCTGGCCCTTTCCCCCGACCACAAATCGTCTCCCCTTCGACCAAAAACCATCTTCCCCCAACCCACAATTTGTCTTCCCCCAACCCCACAAATCGGCTGACAATGCAGACATCATCCACTACGCCGCCCGCCAGCTGCGGCGCTACCGCGGGAACCTTTCGGAATTTGTAAAGGCGGTGCCGGCGGCGCAGAGCTACTACCAGCTGCAGGCGGCGACGCTGCGCTTCAGGTGGGGCGCGCGCGCACACGCATGCGCGCCCATGATTGTGCTGATGCGTGATCTTGACCGCGGTTTGACCAGGGCTCCAGCTACCTGGGAACCATGGATTTGGGCGCCGCCGCAGGGCGCCCGCCGCGTCCCAATTTTGCGACCCTGAATTTCGCCGCCTGTTGCGCGGTGGTGCCCAATACGATTTGAGGACTTGAAACCGGCCCGCCGCTGCCCTTTTGCCCACCCCTGCGACTAACTCGCCCCTCCAGGTTCCCCACCCCCGGCCTGCTTGACGGCATCACATCAAAAGAGAAGCCCATCATCAAGGTGCGCGCCCTGGGCTCATAAATATCTGAAAGTGTCCAAAATAATGGTGCACGCCCTGGGCCAGAAAGTCCCAACAACTCAGGCCCCATCCACCCAAGAGCACCCACCCGCCGAGCTTTCGACCGTGCCCGAACGCGTACGCACACAACCGACACGTTACCCCCCCTCATCCCGACTCCCCTTCACACCACCGCCGCTTCTCTCACGCGAACCCACCAATTACACAAAACAATATCGAAAGTAGCTGGACCGCGTGTCGTTCACGCACCGCGGCCCTGTTCCTCCCCCCCTCGCAACACAACCTCCCCTTCACCAATCTGCCAACGAATCCGGCGCCAGCTGGACCGCGTGTCTTTCACGTACGCGGCGCTTTCCCTCAACACCTCCCCCTCCTTAAACCACCACCTCTCCTTCCCCACCAACTACACCGAACAAAATCGACGCCAGCTGAACCGCGTATCACACACGTATCGGGGCGCTTTCCCTGACCTCCCCTCATAACACCACCTCTTATTCCCGACCAACTACACCAAATGAAATCGGCCCCAGCTGGACCGCGTGTCTTTCACGTACCGCGGCGCCCCGCGGCCGACCATCAGCGACGTCCACGTGTTGTGCCGCCTCAGCAGCAGGGTGGCCGTGCTGGGGGCCAACGGCGCCGGCAAGTCAACACTGATCAAGGCAAGGGCTATGGGTTCTGCATTTGCGTGTGTGTGTGTATGTGTGTGTGTGTGTGTGTGTGCGCGCGCGTGTGTGTGTGTGTGTGTGCAGGCGCGTGTGTGTGTGTGTGTGTGCGCGCACGTGTGTGTGTGTGTGTGTGTGTGTGTGAGTGCGCGCACGCGCGCGTGTGTGTGTGTGTGTGCGCGCGCGCGTGCACGTGCAAGCATTCTTTCGTTTATGTGAGTGCGCAAATGCGATGCACGCGTGCATGTGGGCGCGCGTGTGAGTGGGGGGGGCGTGCACGCCTGCCCGCGTATTTTCAACTGAGTGCATGCGTGCTTGCCTGTGCGTGTGTCAAGGCAGGTGGGCGAGCTCGTGTCAGGAACGACCTTCTAGGCTGCTACCTTCCTACTGGACCGCTGATCAGCTTGCTGCAACCGCCTCCTGATAAGCACCGCCTTGTTGGGGCCGTCATCAATTGCCGCCTACCTTAGGTGATGACGGGGGAGCACAAGGCGGACACCGGCAGCCAGGTGGGCACGCAGCTAGTCAGGCACACCCGCGGTACTTTTTTCACTGTGTTTTATAGTCACCCGCATCTGCGGCCCCTTTTTGTTGGTTTTGGCTGGTCTCTTCCGGGCCAGGGGGGGTCGGATGGAAACGTGATCGTGCAGCGAACCGCGGTGGACGGCGGCAGCCTTGAGGGGGCAGCATCGGGGATCGGGTCGACGCTGCATGCGGCAGCGGGCGGGTGGTGGGGGTCGGGGTAGCCGTGGGGATAGCGAGCCGGGGCGCGCACCGGAGCGATTAGCCTGGAGGGGTCGGGGGCAGGTGCAGGAGGGCGCGCACCTCCCGCCTGCCGGCTGCGCGCGCCGCGTGCAAAACAACTTTGGCGCTCGAAAGTCCACAACCCCATCAACGGATGAATCCAGGCACACCATGGAGTTTTGCACCGACAGCTTGTCGCTGCCTTTTTTCAACGGATCCTCAGGTGTGGCGGCACCCCAACCTCCGGCTCGCGTACGTGGCGCAGCACGCCTTCAGGTGGGGCCGCCGCTTCATGCAATCCCGATTGACAAATAGTATTAAGAATATCCCGCTCCCCAAGATCTGGGCCAACAGGGCTTCATTCTGTGCCGACGCACGTGTCCAAAACAGCGCACAATGTCGGACATGCTTTGTCCTGACCCGTGCGCCCCCCAGCTTGATCCCAGCCCTCTTGGTGTCGTGTCAATCGCCTGAACTTCCCTCCTGCATCGCAATGAATGACATGTGTTTCGACCTTCCCACCCAACCAAACCCTGGATCGCCCCCCCTTCCCCCCTGACACCAGCCTCACACTCCCCCACCGTTGCCCCCTCCCCCAGGCACATCGAGGAGTACCTCGACACCACACCCCTGAAGTACATGTTCCACAGGTGGTGTCACGGTGACGTCACCATGACCCCGTCGTCCCGGCCGATGCCCGGGCCCGCTGCCGGCGGGGCCGGGGCCGCTCGGCGACGCGACATCCTCTTCGCAGCCGCGCCGGCCCCGGTCATTGCCACATCAGAGGGAGTGTGTGCCTTGCCCTCGACACGCTCGTGCACTCAACCGCCTTGTACCACCTGGATCAGATGAGAACCAGTACTATGATATCATCGTTTCACAACCCTCTTTCCGCTCCTTGAACGCACACGCACACGCACACGCCAGCACCCATCCCGCGGGCGACCACTTGATGCCGCAAGATTCCACGGGATGCCGCAAGATTCCAAATCTTCATCCTCATGCTCACCCTCATCCTCTTCTATGCCCGCACCCCCCCTCAAACAGGTACGGCATCGGCACTGACCGCGAGGAGGAGTCCAAGGTTAGCGCACCCGGGGCCCGGCCACGGTCGCGATCTGGGTGCAAAACGACCGTCTCCATTGCTTGCACGGCCGGCGACGCAGCAAGAATGCAGAACGGAAAAAGCCACTTCGAACAGGGGCCCTCCCCTCCCCCAGCGCGACAGCTGCACCTCCACCCCTCTGGCATGACCCTTGATCGAATCCTGCGTCCGGTTTTTTGGTGTGATGTGAGTGGTGGGATGTGAGGCTGCCGGGCGCCGTCAGAGCGCCCGAATCGACCCGCCCCGCGCGTATCC